GAGAAGCTGCCTAGCTAGAGGAGTGGATTTGAGGAGTTACAGGTTCATCAACAGACCTGGTTAAAAAAGAAAGTGAATAGCAATGAAGGGATACACTCAATGTCAACCTCTGGTCTCCACACACATGAATGCACACACACACACACACACACACACACACACACACACACACACACACACACACACGCCCACAAGCATGCAAACACATATTACAAGCACATCACTTTTACATGCACACACAGATAGGCTGATACTATAAGACACTGGTAATGGAATCAATCTAGGTATGATGTGCTATTTCCTCAATCTGTAAGTCAAAAACTATTCTAAAAACTAAGTTTATTGATTAAAAACAAGTCAAGTAAAAATACAAACACAGCACAGATCTCCCTATATGGTAAAGACTTGAAATAACTAACCATGATGCTTCTGTTAGACATCATGCCAAGTTCTGAAATGCCGAGAAATATGCAAAACTATAGGGAGGAAGACAAGAAGGAGGTAGAGACAGGGAGAGGGAAAGGGGGAAGGGAGTGATTTTAAGACCTTTTAAGGAAATATTCTTTTGTTAACTTTGAATTACAATGCCTTGACTAGGTCACTGAGGTTCTACATCCTGACTGCCGTCTGCTGCATCAGGAGATTTACCAAGCTCTACATCTCAATCGTCTCTTTTCCAATTTATTCCAAGTGGAAAATGCCATTGGCCTTCTACAGCCTTAACTTATGTTTGGATCCCTTCCATCTTTGAGTCATATTCTAGTGTTTCTGACCATTAAAGTGAGTGTTTCAGTAGGGCTGCTACAGTCTTATTAGCCAAAGCCAAGCTTTATATGGCTTGTGCACTTTAAGAGGTTAATATACCCTGCCAGCTTGCTTTGTTCAGAGGTATTAAGTGGAAAGATTATAACATTCAAAGAAAGGCAAAGTTCACTGGGTAAGACCTCGATAATATAATAGAGTATAAAACCTCTAGAAATTTTTGTCATAATATTTTATGAAACATATGCACATACTCAGTGGAACAGAGTCCAAATTAAATGGTTTTGAAGGTCAGTTCAAAGTCAGCATGCATGTAATATCTCTGTGAGAAATATGCAATCTTTTGAAAGTGCCAAGCCCCAGAAGCTTCCTACTTTATTATCAATCCAGTGGTGTGTTGTAGGAGAGGGAAGTGTGCTGTAGAAGAGGGGGAGGGGGGAGGAAATCTAGCCCTATAGCAATAACACTATTCTCAGCCAAAGCATATTCCAAATGTCCCCATAAACTAACTCTTGTGCTATGGAACAAAGAAATCTTCGTGAGAGGGATCCTTTAAGTATGGGCAAAAATATGTGCTGTGGGATAGTCTGTATGTCAAATTGCTCTGATTGGTCAATAAATAAAACACTGATTGGCCAGTGGCCAGGCAGGAAGTAGGTGGGACAAGGAGAGAGGAGAATTCTGGGAAGTGGAAGGCGGAGGCAGAGAGACACTGCCAGCTGCCATGACCAGCATCAGCATGTGAAGATGCCGGTAAGCCACCAGCCACGTGGCAAGGTATAGATTTATGGAAATGGATTAATTTAAGCTGTAAGAACAGTTAGCAAGAAGCTTGCCACAGCCATACAGTTTGTAAGCAATATAAGTCTCTGTGTTTACTTGGTTGGGTCTGAGCGGCTGTGGGACTGGTGGGTGACAGAGATTTGCCCTGACTGTGGGCAAGGCAGGAAAACTCTAGCTACAAATATGTTATTCCCAACTTCAAAGCTAGTCACACATAGCCATATAGAGATGACTCAGTGATTAAGAGCATTGGCTGGTCCTTCAAAGGACCCAGGTTCAATTCCCAGTACTACATGGCAGCTAACAACTGTCTGTATCCAGTTCCAGGGGTTCAACACCTTCACACAGTCATGCATGCAAAACACTAATGCACATAAAATAAAAATAAATTATTTTTTAAAAGAAAGCAAATGGACCTTATTAGCTAAAACAGATTGGGGGGGGGCAACACTGATCCTCCCAAACGGAGGGAAGCAAGGGTCCACTTTGCATAGAAATTTCAGATTCCTGTGAGAATCGAAGGCTTCTATAGCTCGATGTACCTGGGTTGTCCATGTCTGAAGACAGGTGTCCAGAAAGCTCAGAGAGCTTCCAAATTGTTCTCCCTGCTGAAGGGACATCCCGGGACTCTATTTCAAGCCACGAAGACTTTTCTTACTCAGTTTTATTCTCTAAACCTTACTAATAAATACAATTCAATAAACAGTAGGGGTAAAAGAAATAAACATTGCATAGTATTCGATGAAGCTCAAAAGACAGAAGCGACCGATTTAACAAGTTCCTTTAAGTCTGGGAGTAACATTCAAGTAGACAGCAGAAGTTGAAAATCTGGCTGTAATGACAAAGCCTGACTGTATTGGCTGTCCTGGTACTTCTCCTCGATGATCTATGGCAATTCTCTAGATTCAGTTCAATGTGATGTAACTTTATAATACGAAAATTTCCTTAAGCACTTTCCCCAATCACCACTTACATTTTATCATGGCAAAATTTTATTGTTTACATGTTTCAAAGTGACATTCTAGTAGGTGGAATATTACAAATGCTGAAGTCTTAGTCAATAATTGAAATTTTTCAATGATCTATGAAAGACAAAGATGAGCCTTAATTTTCTCACAACATAATTGGCATATAACAAATGGATATATGTCTGGATATTGGAGAGTTCTGCCTATTTGTAATTAATGAAGAGCATCTCTAAGTATTTTTATATGTAGAAAACTTCTGTGGTTTATTACATCACACTTTTCTTAATCAGACATTGGGAACTGAACAAGGAATGTTCTGAAAACCTAGTGATATCAAAGTATTAACAGTGGTTCAAGAACTTTATTGCTGCAATGTTTGCTTTTGCAGATCAGCAGCCTGATACTTTGTAAATATTAGATTTTTAGCAGAAAATAAACACATTTCAAATATCAGGCAGCTATAGAAAATATACCATTAGACAGGCCATGGATTTTCACATGTACTATCACATAAAGAGGCAGAGGAAACTTTTTACATATGTGCCCACATTCAGATCAGGGATCATAACATGCACGTTGAACATTATTGTGGTTGTGTTGTGGATTGGGAATTTCAATGAGAATAAATTAACAGCTTGTTATTCATTCTTCTCATGGGAAAAACCAAACTGTTCTCATGGAAACAGGAGGATCTAAAGCACCAACTTTTTAGTACTCCTTAGCTGTTTTTTTTTTTTTTTTTTTTAATTTCTTTGTGGATGCTTGGGGGTCCAGATGCCCCTTCTCTCGAGGGCACTCTCAGCTCAAAGTGAGTGTGTAGTCTCAGTGTAAGAGGACAGTCCGGGCCACATGCTCAGAAGACACGGGTCTTTTGAATACATCACTTGTTTGGAGCCTTCTGCTACAAGAAGACTGACTGGTCTTTCCTTCTCCTGACTTCTTGGGTTATTTCATGACAGGCCCTTCCCTGACTATGGAAACGTTCACAGAATTTTTTGTCAATAGCTCCTACACATGCCATTAAATATTGAGGCTGTTAGTCCCACACACTTTATGAAGCAATTTTCACAAAACAAACCCCAAGGTTTAGAAGTATGTAAAGCCTCGATCTTTTCTTTACCTTCTTTTGTCCTAGAGAACTTCAATTAAAGAAAGATAAGGTAATATGTGGGTAGTAACGTAAAATTCAGATGCAATACATGAAGCTCAGCCATTCTTTCCTTTACATTGGATCCTATTGAAGCATTCAATTATATCTAACATCTAGAAACATAAAAATCTCTAGCCTATAAAAATAAAAAGGCACTGATTGCCTTGGGAAGCTTAAGCACCCTTTTCCTGCATCTGGGACCATATAAAGTGAATGAAAGGTAATAAATTCTTATTCACGATTGATTTTATTTTTAAATCTTCATTATGCCATAGGTAAATTATCTGACAGAAATTAGTTTCACCATGTGTTTTTTCAATCTACATCCATTTTAATTACTCAAAATTGCTTAGAAAATGAATATAATTATTTGAAATCACCACTCTGTGGATTTTATACACAAATGACAGAGATGTAACACCCCAATAAGACTTGAGTAAAATACAATAGATTCAGCTATCTATGAATACCTGTTTGGAAGCTGTGGGTGTAAGCATTTTAAATCTTTTTAAAAGCTGCAGTTTCTAAATATTGAAAGCTTTCGAGCAGAATATACACAAATCTTGTTATCTATTATTTAAATGTATTGATTATAGTGGGAAGAGTATATACATATTAAATATCACTTGTCAGTGACATTCAAAGGGAACATAAAATTGGAAAAGAAATATATATGACTTAGAGAGATGATACTGTCCATTAAATTCTAACTAAAACTTCACCATGACACTCCCCAAGCAAGTTTTTCTGGAAGTTCCTATGGGTGCAGTTGTGTATCCTCACACGTGGATTAATAGGAACATATTTTCACTGAGGTCAGTAGTCTAGAGAACACTAGGGAACTAACTTACTCAGAAGGAAGCATGATGTTCACTACATAGACATTTGAAGTTTTAAAATTAAAAACTATTGTTGGACAGAATATCCTTATCAGACATGTTTAAATGATTAAAGAAAGGAGACAACAGGAAATATTTCTTTAAAATGAAAAAGTTGTATTTTTCTGAGGAATGACATCCCTATTTTCCTTTATCCTAACATTTATTGCTAATCAAAATAAGATAAACTTCTCAATCTTACAAAAATACCTTAACTACGCAGTGAATGGACTCGTGCAGAAATGGGGAGAATGGAGTCACATGTCTATCTCTGCGCCTCTGCACTTGCACAGGAGCTTCTGCACGCACGAGTTTGTGCACACGTCTGTTTCAGCAGCCTGTGACTGTAGGGCGCACTACCTATACTTCAGATTCCTCAACTTCCGTCCGGAAGTGAGTAACACAAACGGGGGGTGGGCCATGAAAAAGTCCGTGTTTCTCCTTGCTATGCCAACTTACCAGTTTTTCTCAAGGGGAAATCGTCCTTGGCATCCTGGGCTCCTGGTAATGTGTACTTGTAAGATGGAGATGTTCCACTAAGAGGTGGAGAGCTTTGATCCAGTGATGTGTGGTGGGCAGCCCTAAAAAAATAAAGAAGGTTAATACTGATGCTTGACTTCAGTGCATGTTAGTCAGAAGCAATCAGTTGCACAGGCTGTCCATGTGTCCCAGCTGCATTTATGTCCTTCCTCCTTAGTGAATGCAAACGACAGCCTCATGCATTCAAGTGCAGTGCAGGAAGTAGAGAATGATGCATGATTCCTAGCAATAACCACTTCAATCGCATGGGAAATTTCACTTCATTAGAAGAACTGAAATTGTTATACTAAAAAAAAAAAAAAAAAAAAAAAAAAGCTACCAATTGCCAATTGGACCCTTTGGAGTCACCATTATAGAACAACCATGGTGGAAGGGAACAGAACATGTCCAAAGTTCTTGTCACTGCCAGATAGCACAGCCAAATGCATGAGGAGGCTCTTTGTACTGAGCAGGGTACAGTGCCAAGGGCCTTAGAGGCCTGACGCTCACAGTCAACCTTAACATGCAGGATAGAAAGCACATTCCTCTTCAATAGAAAACTAACTTCTGAAATATTTTCTCTTTCTGGAATGGCTATATTGAAAAAGAAGCAATTGTGCTACTGAAGAAGAATTTAGAGGACTGAACTCAGACTACCCAGTGTATACAAGCATCACAATTATCAGATATAATGGAGAGAATGCCCAGGATGCAGGGCCACTGCCACACAGACTGTTCTACTACAAGTCTTTATTTGAAAAATACAATCTCAACAATTAACTTATTTAAGGTCATTTCACATACTTCTAACTGGTGAAAAGCATCAAAATGTGTCATTATGCACTTTTTATAGAGAAGTAAACTGATTCTTTGAGAATTCAAGGAAATCTCCCAGAGCCACATAGCTAATTCCTAAAATTAATGATTTATGGTTAGCTGGAATTATATTCCATATAAACAAGAAAAGATCACTACTGATATGAGGAGCCATGTCTAACATACTCAAGGGAACAGCTGAAGAATTTTCAGCAGATAAATTATTTGCTAATAGTTGTTTCTCATTAAAAAATTGTTATTTTTTTCTTAAAATGTTTTAACTTAGAAAGCACTATGAATCAATCACATACTCTGCAGATAATTTTAGGAAACAAAGTTATATTTCTTTCAGAATACTTTATTATACTGACTGGTTTCTCAGATAAACTGATAAACACATAGGACACAATTGTTCAAATGTCTAAGTTTTTTTTGTACTCTGCCTGATACCTCAGTTTTGGGAAAAGAAGAGGGTGTATACCTATAAACAGACTTCAAAGTATAGTAACTTTTCTGCAAAACTCTGGGGATGCTTCTAAATTCTATAAATAGTTAGGATATACTTCCTGTCCTTGATGTGAGAGATGAAAAATATACACATAAAGTCTTAAGGCCATTCAACAAACACATTTATGAGAGAAATGAACCCATTATCTTCTATCCTATTATCAAATGTGGTTTATCAATCTAGTCTTTGATCTGATTCTGAAAACAATCATTCCTATCTCACAGCGAAAAGAAGAGTGTTTTGGGAATATCTCTGTTGGACCTGGGAAGCACGGTCCCAGGAAGGAGCCAGCAGCACTGTGCATCTTGTCTTCAGGTTGTATCTCAGAAACCAAGTCATTATTCACTGGGGGAAAGAAGTCAGGTACAGCCAGGCGGTGGCGCACGCCTTTAATCCCAGCACTCGGGAGGCAGAGGCAGGTGGATCTCTGTGAGTTCAAGGCCAGCCTGGGCTACAGAGTGAGTTCCAGGAAAGGTGCAAAGCTACACAGAGAAATCCTGTCTCGAAAAACCAAAAAAAAAAAAATGAGGTACAATGGGAGAGGCTAAAGGAGTCACTGAGGGCTTAGGTTTGTTTATTTATCTTCCTCCCTGCCTTTCACTTTTCTGTCTTCCTTTTGAAAAGACCAGAAATCACCTGAATTTCTCAAAATAGCTCTCTGGTTTCTATTTTATATTAAGCCAAGTGAAACAAAAGTAAGCCACAATCTGCTAAACATTCACAAATTCTGCACAGATATCAGAGGTACTATCTGAGGATTAAACCATCTCTGGGTTCCACCCAGATGCCAGTTACTCATTCAACAAAGAAGATAATGCACTCCCTGCCTTCAGTGATGCATGCTAATGCTATGTACTTCGTTATATTTTTTCTCAGGACCTTCCCAGTAACTCCAAAGGCAGGTGCTGTGGTCCTTTGTGTAGAGAGAAAAAAAAAAGCTATTCCTTAGAGATTTCCAGGAACTTCTCATGGGCCATGCAGGCCTGAGAAGCGGCAGGACTCGGGATTTCTGCCCAGGTCAGCATAAGGTAGAACCTGTGTGCTCTTTACCCTCAGGATGAAAACAGCTAAACACAGAACATACGTGTACCAGAGCTTGGGATGGCGGCTCACGGAATGATTCTTTCCATTGGTTGGAGTGTCTTTTGTTGCTGATTTACTCAACAGGAATTCTTGAAGCTTCTGCTTTACCTCTGTGCTTGCCACTGCCCCTGAAACACACACAGGGAAACAGACCGCCTGTGATTACTTCCTCCCACCACTCAAGAATACTCAACAACAGTTATGAGGAAATATCACTGGCCACAGCATATGGAGTTTTCCTATTAAAAAATAAAAATAAAACAGAACCTACAATGGCTTTAGAAAATGACAGAGTCCTGTTCTGTAACTGTTACTTACATTAAAAATCTTCAAAATACCTTCAATGAGTTCTTTGATCATTTTTATAGGAACAAAATTCCTAAAACTACCATCCATTCATCTTTAAGTTTAAAAAGAAAATTGCTGAGGGTTGGGGACTTAATGGTACAATGCTTGCCTAGTATTTGTGAGGCCCTATGTTCAATCCACAATAGACAAAAAAAAATAGGAATAAAACTCTAGTTTTTAATTTTATTTTTTTTAAATCAAGAATCTCGGGGAGTGTTGTAGATTATTACAATACATTAAAATGATCACTTCTGAGTTTCTTGTTAAAAAATTCAACATTGTTTTAAAATTCATTTGATTATTAAGCACATACATTCTGTTGATAATTTCAGTTCAAATCACCACACTTTAAACTTTGCAAAGACCTGAGTTTGAACTGACTGGATAGAGGGCAATTATTTGGATCTGTCTCCCTCTTGTGGACCATGATTTTGCAAATGTTCTGCCTTGTGTTTAAAAACAACAAAAGGGAAGGAGGCACATTATGGTGTTCAGAATGTGGACTGCTTGGGCAGGAAGAGAGAAGAAATGAAAACATGTAGACATAACTTTATTACCGAACAGGGAGTCTTAACATTCAATCACTTTAGTGTGATGGTATTTTCAAAGTCCAAAGAACAAGCCTGTGTCTTTGGCAATGCTGTTCATTTCTCATTATGCTCTGCAGAGCTGATAGGAGAGGGCAGTTTAGTCTACAAGTTATTCTTTTAACTAGACAAGGACAGCTTGGGCAGGCTTATTTCCATGATTTATCGGTTCCTGGAGGTTCGGGGAGAGAGTGCGTCCGTTACCCTGGAGCCTCTTACTTTCTCGTCCTCTATCTTTGCCTCTGAGAGGAGGAAGCTGCTGCTCTCTGCGATGCCTCTCTACTTCCTGTTCTTGCCTCTGCTGCTCCAGTTTCTGCTCCTTTTCTAGGAGTTCTTGCTGTTGTTTTATGGCTAGAAGTTCCTGTTGCAACTTGCGAGAAGAGAAAGACATGAGAGTGTGCAATTTCTTTAAGCTTCAAAGTCATCACTCACTGCCCCAAATTGCAATGTTTTAACTTTTGGAACTTGATAGTATTTAGTTTGTGCTTCAACCACCTTGTTATGATTGAAATATAAAGACAGGAAACTAAATGGTTTTGATATCTACAACAAGTAAGCTTTCAGATAATTTCATTATTTGTGTATCCCTATCAAAAATTATTACCAAATCCACTAAGGTCATGTGAATGCTGTTGACTTGAACCTTCAGTTTCTTTCCCTGTGTGTCTACAAAACATAGGAACATGCAAAGGCAGAGACAGCCCAATGTCTATTTCACAAATTCTCTCACACTCGAAATAGACAATCAGTTCTTATCCTGAGATACAGTGTAAAACTGCCATGGATCGGACAGCATTGGGGTCACTTTGGGGAAAGCCTGCCCGAAACAGTACAAACACTGACTACCCACTTGGCAGAGAAAGTTCTTGTTAAAGTGAGGTGACCTACACATCTATATACTTCTCTAGAAGATGGTAGGAAGTTCAGAACTGTCATCTAACACAGGAAAACTTCTAGATTAGAGGCACAGATCCAAAAGAAGTCACTTCCACAAACTGTACTTCCATGCATTCACATCTAGTTTTCTGAATCCTCTGAATTTACTTCAAACCATACATAACAAAAAGATGAAGCTATTTGTTATGGCATTTTAAGGTATCAATTTCCTTTTAGTTGGAGAAATACATATATCGGAAAAAAAGCAAATGTATCACTGAAGAACAAGTCTCTCAAGTCCTACTTAGCCTCTGGCATTGCCAGGTCTGAGATCTGACAAGATACTAAAGCTATTCAGAACCTCAGTTCATTATAAGAAAGACAATAACGTCTCTCACAGATCATATACATAATTCATGTGAAATTTAGGTTTTAGTTTTGAGTGATATCATTTCAATTATTACTATTTATTGTTTAATAACTAAAGCATAATTTATCCTTTTGAATATTAGTTATCTAAAAACCTGTATTTTATAGCAAATAATGGAACAAAAATTCAAAGCTCTGTGGAATGTTATCAGGACCTTCTTGCTGGAGCAACAAGAGGGCCATTTTTTTATATTAAGTATGACAGCCTTACCGAATCTAAAGCATATGGTTAGGAGTATTTCTGTTTATTCTCCATATTATATTTTAATATCTTGGTGCTTTGTTTTTATATACCATCCAGTTGATGGATGTTCTCAAATATATCACTGTTACTTAGGAACCCATAATTATGTTTAAATTCTGTTACAATGTCAATTCTATATCAATATCAAGACTGGTCAAATTGATTCAATACTTTATCCAAAACTTCAATGAAATCGAACTATAATTCCTTCTAGAAATGGAAAAGCATACACATTTATTACCATAGTCACTACTTACAACAAAGATTATGGGAATGGGGTATGTCTAAAAAAATTAAAAAGAAGTAAAACTTAACTTGTTTTAGCCTGAGTGAGCCATGATGACTTAGGAGCTTTTTGGACAGACTAGTGAAGACAATACAATTTTGAGCACCTATATTCTAGTCACAATCTGTGTGGCTTTGCAGAGTTACACCATTTCTCTCTACTTCAGTTGGCTAGGTAGAAACTTGGAGACTAGAATAGAAGGCAGCAGGTGCTGACTGCAAGAAGAACCAGAGTTCAAAAGCTAATGCCATTAAATCATGATGTACTGTCTTCCTCATGCAAATAAATCTAAATCAATGTTACCCATAAGGCAGTGACAAAGTAAAATAAAAAAGTTAAGGGAGTATATAACTTCCTAATCTTTAAAAGAAGATGTAAGCACATCTTCAGCCTCTAACAAAAGTATGCACTATGTAGGGAAACCATCTTTTTAAAGCTACAGTTCCCTTTTAACCATCTCATGATTCTGACTATCACAAGTGCCTCTTTTCCAGGTGCCAATCAACCTGCCATATTATTTTGTTTGTGCCACAGAAGTAGTTACCTACTTGCTACTCTTAGGTTCTGAGTGGTCAAATGATAAATTACTCACAAGTGACTTTAGCAGTAACAATGGCACCAAATATTAATGAAAAGAAATCGAAAACCAGACAATGAAAGTAGCTTATCATCATGGCTTGGTACTCAGGGAAAGCGATTCAAACACAAAAGAAAATGAGCCATATAGTTATTCAGATCTTGAAGCATAGGGATGAATGTAAATCTTACTCATGCCTCATGGCCCTGTTAACATGCCTGGAAGGACCAGGAAAAGCAACCTAGACCTGGTTCAAGGGTCAAAGTGAAATAACACTTTGGCATTTATTCAAAAATAAATGTACAAACTCAGTGAAGGTCACTCATATTTAAAATATAGGCCTGAGATAACAATGTCACTGGGGATATACACATAAAGTCCTTCATTCTTATTTTAAATGTAATCATAGAGCAACACTATGAAAGTCTTCAGTAAACTTCACTAGTAAAGGAAAGAGACTATATTTTATATTTGTCATTGAAGAGCCTTTTATGCAAATAATATATCTTGCAGAACAAGAAAAATGGGGAATAAAATAGCACATTTATCTTCTTAGACATTGTAATTTAGTGTTATAATTTAGTTATCTATATTAATGCCATATTTATATATTTGTACTTGACATACAAGAGATTACATGACTAAAATATAGTATAGTAAGATATAACAAAATGCATAATTCTATTGATTATTACCCTTAAGTCATCTTTGAAGGAGTTGATTATAAAATAAAATTTTATTATAAATATTTTGTGCTTTTGCCGGGCAGTGGTGGCGCACGCCTTTAATCCCAGCACTTGGGAGGCAGAGGCAGGCGGATCTTTGTGAGTTCGAGGCCAGCCTGGGCTACCAAGTGAGTTCCAGGAAAGGCACAAAGCTACACAGAGAAACCCTGTCTCGAAAAACAAAAAAACAAAAAAAAAATTGTGCTTTTAATAATATCTATTTTATTGAACCAAAACATCCTTGTGCTTTCTTACAATTTGACTCACTTTGCAGCCCAGGTTATTTCCAAGTTTAGATCTTCCCCTTTCCAATTCCCAAGTTTTGAGATGAGGAACATGTGCCACCATTCCCTGCAAGATCTCTATTGATAAATATCCTTGCCAATTATTAAAATAAACAAACAAACAAAAAACTAGTAAAGCTACAGTGATATTTTCTAGTGAATACACCAAAGAAGAAAAAAGTAATTCGGCACATATACAATCACCAGATGTCAGCAAAAATTCTGAGCTATTGTTATATTTCCCCTGACATAACAGTCTATAAAAACATTAAAATATTTATCCAGTTTTTGCACATAAAAATCCCTTTGCCCGGTGGTGGTGGTGCACGCTCTTAATCCCAGCACTCAGGAGGCAGAGGCAGGTGGATCTTTGTGAGTTCGAGGCCAGCCTGATCTACAGAGTGAGATCCAGGAAAGGTGCAAAGCTACACAGAGAAACCCTGTTTTGAAAAACAAACAAACAAAAATCCCTTCAAGTTTTCATTATATTATTATATTTTTATTTTGATTATATGCCATATGATATCCTTCCTATAAGGAACAACTTGTCTTGCCCTAGACTGAGAACCAACCAAACAGCAGAAGAGGGCTGTTTCTATTCACACGATGAATTTACCCTTCCCGATAAATCCTGCACATAGCTTTATTAGCAGCATAACCTGGGCCTTTCAGGGCTCGTAGTTCTTGGTGGTGACTACAGGGGGAAAGGGAACATACAGCAGAGGGTATACATGAGAATGGCAAGTTCCTGTCTCTCCAGGTGAGTCTGTGAGGTAAAAGGTAGGCGTGGCAGAGCTCTTCCAACAGCCAAGCAAGTGCTTATCAGGTACTTACCCAAGTTTCCAACTAGTACAACCACAATTTCCTTCAAGCCACACATCCATGTCTTAATCATCACCCCATCAGTGCTCGCATGGGCTGGCCTCCTGCCCGCATCGTGGTGCAGGCGCCCTGACTGAGAAGGTCAGAGACAAAGATACATTTGCTACCTTGATGTGCTCCTGAAGCTGCGCCTGGTGCTGCCGTGTCAGATTCTCGTGCTGCTTCTGAAACTCTGCTATTAGGAGCTGCTTCTGGATCTGTTGCTGCTGTTGGATGAGAAGCAGCTCTTGCTGCAGTTGCTTCTCACGGACGACAGGATCCACCACGGGCATCATCATCCTGAGGTCTGTCCTGAGGTCTAACGGTGAGATGGGCTCCAGGCCCATAGGAACCTCTGATTTCACATCCACTGGAGACACAGGAAAGAAGACAGAGAGCAGGGACAGAGGTTTGGAAATTAGCACACCGACTTGTAAACGAACAGAGAACACTATCCTCTACAGCACACGTGAGCACATGCATAAAGGAAGAGCAAATCATGCTTTGCACTGATGTAAAATTTGTGTTCTACATAAGTTTCGGTAAAGGGTTAATTTTCACTCAGTAACATGTATTCTGCTCTGAATCTTTCTACAGTTGTCTGTTTTCAAACAGATGGATTCAACTACTGGTATCAAAAATCATTCATAAATTTATTAGACTAGACCACTTCACAAACGTAAGCCAAGGAAGACCAAGAAATGCAAGATGAAGGAAAGATGTCATACAAAAAGGGAACTTCTGTCACAACTCAATTCATGGACTTATAAAAAGTTTTATAATCAAGGATAGAAGATGAGTTCTACCTTAAGTTAAGCAGGCAATGCAATACATCTGCATCACCATCAGACCTAGGGAAGAAACGGGGACAATCTACATCCAAATCCAGATAACGGTGATTAACCAGAACAACGGGCCAAGTCTACACATGAAGAAGTGAGAGCGGCCGATGCCTAAGTGCTGGTTTTTAAATAGTAATCATTTAAATCGTGGAAACCTCATTCTTAAAATAATCAAGAGGGAAGGAGAATGAGGGAACTTCAAGTAAACATTCGATCAAACCACCAAAGGGGGAAAATCTGATGACCCAAGTGTAACTATGGGAGACTATATTTAAATTTATGAAAATTGAATTTGATAATATATGTGAAGTGTCTAGCACAATTTGAGTAGATAAGCATGCTGCCCCCTGAAAGAAAATTTTAAGCAGGAAAACCATAGCCCGAGAAACTCTCCAGATGGTGGTTGTTTATGACTAATGTCTACTCCGATTGGTCAGTGCCCAAGCCAAACTGATGGTTAAATATTCTGAGGAATACATCTACCTGGAGGAATCAGGGAAATTTTATAATTATATGAAACAGGTCAAGTTAAAGACAATGGCTCTTTTGGAAGCTGGGGTTATACCTCTTTAAAATTAGTGAACCACTACTTAGCTCTAACACCCAGCAGAGACAGAAATAACCAGAAATTTTAATTGCAAAAATATTTAAAATACTTTAACTTTCTGAGAAGCCTAGGAAAATGGTTCAGTAAGTCAACCAGGACATGCAAGGTGCCAGTTTCAACCTCTATTCTGAAACCCAGTGCTTGTTACAATTCCCCTACTTGCATAAGCCTGCGGATGCTGGTATCTCCACCAAGCCTCAGCCCCATCACCAGGAACGAGAGATGATCATAGGAACAGTAATTAAAGGCTCATATGAGGACAGTCACTCAGAGTATGTACAGCATACCTTTTAGTAAAAATTTCTGGTTTTCTCTTTTATATAAAAATAGAAATTTTCTGTACACTAAAATAATTCACTAATAATGATTGGCTAGCAGATCAGAACCATATAAGCAACTCTTGAAACAAAATGCTGATTTCTATAAATATTAGAAAATAAAAACAATTCAGCAACTAAAAATCACCTTCACTGGTAAATAAAGAAACCATTAATAAAATGAAACATCACTATGTAGTTCCTAAGAATCACATATATATGCATATATACATGAGCATGCATAGATATCTGCTGCATAATGCCCGTTTTATAAGGTAAGAACATGACTAAATTAATTATTGAAAGTGGAACTTCCAATTGGTATAAAATTGCCAAAAATCAATCTACAATTTGAACCATGAGGTATTAAACATTTCTATCATTTGATTCAGGTTTGGCACCTCTGGAAGTAAGTCACACAGAAACAATCCTAAGGAGAAAAAGGTTCAATGCTGTGTTGTAATCTGGAGATTTTTATTATTAATATCATAGTCACCAACTAGAAGAACACCTAAATAAACCATGTCATATCCATTTTATTGAAAAAAAAAAGTAGTCATTGGCTGGGGAGAGTGGTCAGTTGATAAATTCTTTCCTTATAAGCATGAGGACACTATTTCAATCCCTGGAACCTACATTAAAAAAAAAAAAAAAAACAGTTGAGAATGGTGTTGCATGCCTGTAATCCTAGTCCTGGGAAGGTGAAGACAGGGAGATAGATCCTTGAGGCTCACTGACCAGCCAGCCAAGACTGCTTGGTGAGTTCAGGCCAGTGCAGATACTGCTGTAACTAAGGAATGATACCCAAGGTTGTCTTCCGGCCTCCACAAGTATGTGCATGTATGTGTATATGCCATCACAGATGTATGAACATGCACACCCATGCACACATACATGCGCAAAAACATATGAATCCCTAAAAATTAAAATCATTAAAAAATCAGTAATAAACTGGCAATTACACTATGATAACCAAATGACATAAATATTTATTGAGCCCCTTAAATATTAGACATCATTCTAACTGTTGAGCCTCAGGATTTGAGAGCAAGAAAAGACAAAATATCTAGCCATAACCATGCATGTACACACACACACACACACACACACACTTCTCAGTTACACTAGTCCATAGGTTCTGATGCAAAGAGTGGCATGGAGGACAGACGACAGCAGTACTTTGGGTGAGAATCTGCGTGACCTTGACTCTACTTGTCTCAGCTTTCTATATCTCTTAAATTATTAGAAATACTCAATACTTTTACATGTTCCACATCTACATAGGTTTGAAGATCCCAGATTGGGAATTATCAAGTTTGTATTCTATGCAGATTTATGATTTATTTTCAGGGCTTAAAGGAAAACTCCCAGTTTTCCTGTTTAGAGATGCCAGGCCTCACATATGAATGCTTATGAGTGCCAATCACCCTATACTACATGCATATATGAGCACAATCATGCAGACTGGAATCAATCTTCCTTTACCAATGTTGGCTATTTTTCAACGTGTAGATCTGAAGTTTGAACTATCAATACTGCATGTAGCAACTTAATGATGATCAGAAAATGATTTATTAATAAACTATGGTTTGACAGACAATGACTTTTTATGACATTACCCTTGTTCAAACAAATAGATGAATTGTGACAAGTTTGAAAACAAGATGGTTGCCTAGGTCTCTTAGCTGTAATGGGCAATGCAGAACTTCTAGTCAAGACTGTAGAGTGATGTGAGAGTTTGAACATTAACTCAGAATTTTCATGAATCCAGCCTAAACTAATGTTGTTAACAATATACTTCATTTTTATCTTTAACAGGCCAAACTATAGTCCTCAGTGTTGTTCATGACAATCTTAATAAGCAAAGGTCAGAATCTTACCCTATAAACACAAAATATAAAATAATTCAAAAGACCCTTGAGCTTTCTTTATTGTTCATAAACTATAAACGTCAAACCCTTAAAATTACTCAAATAAACAAACAAGAAAAAAGATAAGGAATAAAATCCCACAGTGCTCTGTAACAGCCATCGCAAACCTCAAAGGGTAATTTGACTTCTTAACCTGCTATCCCAACAGAAATGACTGTGTCTAACTGCGTGCCTTTGTTCACAGCCTAATCACTAAATTGTGAAAAATCACCCTCAGCTTACAAAAACTGCCCTTGATTATAAATAATTGCCCAAGACTGAGAAAAAGCGGCAGGCAAGATCCCAGTCTTTCATCCAATTTATTCAGCAGTGATCCACATTCCATTTGTCTAGACTAAATATAGCAGCGTTTATACAAGAAATCAATAGTGCTTGCAGAGAGGAGGACAGAGGCATGAATATTTCATCAAACGTGGAAAGAAGCGGCAATCAGCAGAGTCAGGCTCTGGCTGGGTCATCTTTGGCCTGCTGGGTTCATCCTGCTACTTGGACAACAGCTCATCTCTCTTATTCACACTTGCATCACCGCCATGCTTCCTATTTTTAGCAGCCATTGCATTGTGGGTGACAAAGACGCTTCTTAGTCCACAAGCAACGTTGGATTTTTCTGACATCTTTGCTGACAGGCTAGGGAGTTTCCCAGGAAGAAAAATATAAAGACAAGACCAGGGTGAGTTTCAACAGGTGACAGTCACCTTTGTGCACAGAATATGAAAGAAAGGGCACTGTGGATATCTACTGTATTTTTACCAGAAATAATCAGTTTACTAGGAAAATGTAACCATCTTTTTTTTTTAATTAGTGGATAAATAGAATTTCCTCTGTTTATGTTGCTTGTTTGGGAACACACACAGTTCTTCAAAGATTATTCAGAAGTGGTTGTCAGTGACTCAAGTTAGAAGGAGACTGAAGACAACAAATACTAATATTAATGTTAGTTATCAATGAATTGTAGTTTCTTTTCCCTAACAAACTCCAACCCCAGACACAAGTGAGAAAAAGCCATGACAAAACTAGTTTTATTTGGACTTCTCCTTTCTGAGATTATAAATACATTCAATGAGCTGAAGAAACAGCTCCATGGTTAAGAGCATACGCTAATCTTCCAAAAAACCCTGGTTCAAATCCCAGCACCTTCATAATGACTAACAACCACCTGTAACTCCAGTTCCAGTGGATCTGGCAAATTCTTCTGGCATTCACAGGTACTGCCTGCTTGTGTTTCATAGACATACATTCAGACAAACGTATGGTAAAATGATAAAAACAAATAAATCTTTAAAATAAAATAGAAAAAAATCAAATATATATATATATATATTGGATTTTTAAAATGTTCATCTGGAATATTTCCACACATATATTATCTGGTCTTAATTATGTCATAAAAACTTATTACTTCTTTGTTTATAAACTTGTTACTTTGATAGCTTCTATCATGTTAACCAACAGTTGCATTTTCTCAAAATAATTTTCAGTTTCTACAGTAGTTGTAAATGAAAAACTTCTCATTTCAAAAGCAAAACAAAATCCTAGCTTGTGTGTGTGTGTGTGTGTGTGTGTGTGTGCGCGCGCATGCATGTGTGTTTGTGTGTGTACATGCATGCATTTGTATTTGTGTGTATGTGTGTGTTTTAATACTTATAGTTGTTTAAGCATCATATAAATCTGGT